AAAATCAAAATGAGAAAAATTGTTGATGATAAATCAAATATTGACAAAGATAGACAATCAATATTTAATGATCCAACAAAACTTTTATAGAAAGACAATATACGTACATACACATTTTCCAGTACACACTGCTTTCATTAAGATTATATTATTTCTAATTCAATGTTACTATATAATAATCTTTTGATTCATGAAAAATATATTAAATATTTATCTGTAAAATAGTATAAAACAATCTCTTATTTGAAATTAAACAATTCGAGGTAAATCAATTAAGAATGCTAATAAAAATATGATCTTGTAACAGCATGTTAAATCATTCATTAAACAAACCCATTCAACACACCATACGATTAGAAAAGGGAAAGGAGAAGCAGGATGATTTTCTCCTGTGGATAGCTAACATTTTTAATCGTTTAGTGCAATTTTTTAAAGAAAACAAGTTATTTTCTCTTCGAAAGAAATTAAATAAGGTTATATTTTGAAGAGCCGAACATTAAAAACTCAGAAGAATAAGACAAACGTTAAAAATATGCTTTAATTGTCAATATATCTAAAATTCATTTGATAGATACTGCAGAATGCCATATGAAAAAAATCTAATTTAATATCTGAACTGCAACTTTTAGTGTCACTTTACTAAACATGTTTCGAGCAAATAGATTATTAAGCATCTAATAAATATCTTATCTTAAAATATTTAAATTTCCAATATTTTCCATAAAATACTGATATAGTATATTTGTTAGATATGATACTTACAACACTCGTAGGATATCATGAGCGGTGTACGGTCAAAGTTTTAGATGAAGAAATAAAGTTTTAAATGCGACCATTTTATTCTCTTACCCAATAGTGAAGAATATGGATGAAACGCATGAAAACATTTATATTCACACCATTTCAGCTGAGAATATTGTTCTTCAATATAAGAAACAATATTTCAAATGACAAATCAACAAAGTGTCCATCATACACACTCATGTTTGATTCACATTGAAACTTCTCTCAATAAAGATATATATGTATTTGTTTATTGTTTGTCTTTGGTTGTTGACATCCTCGAGAATAGAAGAAATGAGTTTTTCGAGGGAAATAGGTAAGATGAATGTATTACCTAATTTGTTCATAGACGAAGACTGCTTTTTTTTTCAACAATTATATAATTACTATTGATTTTGTAAATTTTCTTAGACTGATTATATTAAGAGTGCAATGAACGAAAGGTAAGAAGCTGATCATTACACAAAAAGAGACTGACCCACCTTGTATGCACCAATATTTTACAAATAACATAAGACGTTTATGAATTCTGAAGAAAACAATCATAAAATTTTTTAATCAAAATTTCAATGGTTTCTTAATCGATAAAACAAATGAACATTTTCGAGTAACATAAATCATAAACGTTAAAGGAAAAGTATAGTTTTTCTCTGTTTGCTTGATGTTTACCCATAACAATAAAAAAAAATCTTAATCAATGATATCAAAGATTATCATACGTACTTTGTTTTGTATCTTATAAAAAAACTTTATCTATCGGATGCAACTTTTAGAATATATGTGTGCAAATAGTAAGAAGAAAAACTATAAATGAAAACTAATGAAAATCTAAGCTGAAAGAAAACGAAAAGAAATAAATATAGAATTAGTTAGAAATGCTATATTAGAATTAGCATTAATATTTATTAATATTAATACTAATACTTTAGTAATTAGTATAACCCTAATACTATGGAATTATTTGTATTAGAATTAATTAATACTAAGATGATAAACATTAAATTAACATTATTTTTAATGTTAATACATAGACTATCAATAACTAGATCTCGAATACTCTAACTTCAGAAATTTCTAGAATCAAACAATTTTATTCCATTTTGTGAAAACAATTCTCAGATAAGAGAACCATTTTGTTCTATGTCGGAAATAACACTCCCGGTTAGAAATCTTTTGTTCTATTTTTCTAGTATGACACTTTCAGTACAGAAAGCCATTATTCTATTTTTTGGAATGATGTTTCCTGTTAAAAAAATGTTTTGTTCTATTTTTTTAGAATGACACTTTCAATACAGAAAGCCTTTGTTATGGTTTTGAAAATAGTAATCATGCTTTAAAAAGAAAAAAAAATCTTTTTTCTATTATCGAAAACTTTTGAGTATGGATGAACTTTTAAACTTACAATCGTAGATAGGATATACATATATTAGAATTAAAAATAATACTATCACATTGACATTAATCAACTCTAATGCAAATACTACCAAAGGATTAAAGTTAATTATAACATTAATGGTAATCTAACTCCCTTAAGATTAATTCTTTGATGACTCTTCTTGTGTTAAATCTCATGTGATGAAATTTGTGCAGAAGCCAATAAGTGTATAGCTATTTATTATGTCGATTATTTGTGAGATGATATCGAAATAAAATCATGATTAATCGACGATTATCTTTGTCAAAATTCGATTCATTATTGTTCTTTTTCTTTTTTTTTTAGATCGTAATTAATTATCGGAACGTAAACAATTTTGATGGCATGAACAGATTGTAATCTTAAATGTGTTCTCCAATATTTAAAGTACTGATATAAATAGTGTTCATATCATCAACACTAATGTCTACAATTATTTATTATATTATTTTTTTTCTAAGGAAAAAAAAAATGAAACATGTTGTTGTCATCTTTAAATAAGTTTTTTTTTGTCTCATAACAAATTTCTTAATATGAATTGTTATAGAAGTAATAAAATTTCGATTAATATTCATTTCTATACTGTCAAATTATCGATGATGATTGAATACAAATGATTTTAATGTTCACTATAATAATATGACTGATGAAGAGAACTTTAAATTCACAATTGAGTATTATTATACATGAAGTTTTTCCGACATCTAAAGCGTACATAAAAAATTGACAAGCACAATTTGTTGTTTTTTTATTAAATGGATCGACATTAATAAATGACCTGTCACATCAACTGATTTTATCTGAAAAACATTATTTTTTATTGAGTCATTACTTCGCCATGCCAATGAGGGCATAACGATCTTTAAACGAATCACGTCTACATAAAAAAATATCGACTAATATTTTAAAGTTTCATCGCTTTTTTTTTTGTTTTCTTTTCTGTGTATGACTTTATTAAGCACATTTTCTATCGCGTTTGCTTTTAAGAATTCAAAATATTTTTATTTAAAAAGAGAATTTTTGTAATATATTTATTTTATAATTTAAAAAAAAAACTAACAATATATAATTATCCAGAAAATAGAAATTCAATAAAATTCTTCTTACGTTTAAATTTTTTGACATTCCATATAACATAACAAGTAAGTGTGATGAAGAATAATCGGTTGTTTGAACTCTACTAGCAATATAGAACTCTGTAATCTTTCATTTACTGTCGAACATCTTCACGTTCCCAATAGAATTCTATTGAATATCCAATTTCTGGATAGTCGATACATCTCTATATTGATGATTACATTATTTTGAAAAAAAAAATAGCAAATATACAACAACTTTGCTAGTAGGAAAAGACATTGAAGTAATTTTAGAAGGATGATTACAAGTTATTTTTAAAGCTTAGAAAAAAAAAAAAAAACATTGGCTTTTTCTATTAAATGCAAGATAATTACTCGTGAGTAATATCTTTAAGCTTTCTTTTTTATGAATAAAAGATCTATTATGATAAAGAAGTTAAATTTCATATGTAAATCATTTCATTAACTTTGATCTTATCAAAGCATCAATATTTCCGTCATATCCATTAAGCAATTAAATCTCAAAAATAATGCTTTACATTTTAAACAATACATTGAATTTTATATTGAGTATTTCAAATAGAACGGAAGGTGATAGTCATCAATGGTAATTATGATAAAATTACGTGAAAAAAAAAAAGAAAGAAAGAGGTGTGAAACATTGATCGTTATTTCCGCTCCCAAAAGGTCTTGTCGGCTAATAAAATCCTTGAAAATAATAATTATTTTTTACAAGTAGAACACCTTGTCTAAGAAAGTCGCTAAATAAAAAAGAAAAAAAACGTTTTTTTGTACTCTGTCAATTTTCTATTTGTTTATTACTTTGAATGTATTATTAAACAAATAATTAATTATTAATAATTGTTATTTTAGATATTGTCATAATTAACAGCTGTTACATATTTGTTGTCTTATGTAAATGAAAAAAGATTATGATATAAAAATTTTGATTTTCCAATCCAACGAATTTCTGATTACATATTTTATTTTTTGACTTCTATTATTATTACATATATATATATATATATATATATTCCTGTTCTTGACATATTAGTTGTAAATTGACACAAACAAAAAAAAATTTTTTTTTTTTTTTTTTGCTAATTATACTCATATTTCAATCAAATGTATTCATATTCAATTTCAGTCAAGTGGAAAACTCGTTTCATCACATCATGATTTGATAATATTGTCTTGTTAATAGACCAAAATTTCTCTAATTCGCATTTCTTTTAGTAACAATAATGCTAACAGATATAGTGATAGACATAAACGGAAAAGAAAGCTTCTCTCTCTTCGCATTTGCAATGGTTGTCATTATTATGACTGCTATCGTTAGTCTCATGTTTGAAGAAAAAAAAAAAAAAAAAAAAAAAAAAAAGAAGAAAGATGATAGAGATAGCTAACGCCCAATCTTTTGTGTTTATGCTATGCGTATGCAAGTTCATTATAGATATACACTACCATCACCATTCTGAGACACAACAAACGGGAAAAGAGAATCTTTCCAGTTCTCTCGAGAACGATGCCGTGCGTCACTCATAATACGACATATTTTTTTTCAAATTACGCTTCAAGAACGAGAGAAGAGAGAGAGAGAGAGAGAGCGAGGAAAAATAAGGAGAGAGTCAGTCGAGTTCGTTCATCTGAATGCGTCTTCAAAAGTTGAAGCATATTGATGCTGATGTTATCAAGTGGGTGTGACGTTGCTATCGACTCGCATCAACATGCAGCCTCAAGCCACAGCGTTAACAGAGCCAATCATCAGACCTCCAACTCCTGATTTTTCGTCACTCACACCTGATGAACTTAATCAATTAGAAATCGTTCTTCAAAAACAAGTTCTTATTGAAAATGAACAAAATCAATGTTTATCTGGTTTACGTCGTACAATGGTACATCTACAACAAACAATTGAAAATGATCATCAACGACAACGTCATTCATCATCAATTAATTCATATAATTCATCACCTACAACACAACAAAATCAAATATTATTATCATCATCTGATATTATTCAATGTTATATTTGTTATTCAAAGATTGAAATACAATCAAAAGATTTAGTTTCTTCACTACCTATATTATGTGCTGATTGTCATCGACCTGTCTGTCGACGTTGTGGTAATTATACATCACCAGAACGTATTAATATATCAGATGGAAATAATTTTGAAAATCAAACTCATATATCTAAATGGCGTTGTCGAACATGTATTGTACGTCGTGAAGTAATCAGAAAATCTGGTATGTTCTTAAGTAAGACAAAAAAAGAAGAAGAAGAAAAAAAAATTAATTAAAATTATTTAATGAATAAAAACATTTATTCAAATGTGTAAATCTTGTTGAAAAGAAGAAAAAGAGAAACAGAATGAATAAATTACAGTTTCGACTAAAGGTTTTTTTCCTCTTCTGCTTTTTCTTCTTCTTCTTCTTTTTATAATGATAAGAAAAAAAAATGTCTCATTATTCACACTCTTATCATCATCATCATCACTTTTCTTCTCATTTCCTTTTATTCAACATTCAAAATGAATCTTTTTCGAGGTTCTTGGAATACTACTACTACTCAAGATGAAGTATCAATTCATTCACCTGTACGTTTATTACAAAAATTATCAGCTTTTCGTGCATCAACTGCTTCAACACCTGTATCTTCATCGACATCACCATCACCATCACCACAAAATGAACGTAAATCAACAATTTTAAGTGAATCAACAAATTTTTTTACACGTCTATGGCGTCCTAATACAACACATCAACGAGCATCATCACAAATTTTAATTGCTTCACATGAAACAAATTCATCATCATTTGATCATATACCTGAACCAAATTCAACACTTATCGATACATCATCTATTCCATCAACATCATCACCATTTAAACCAAATCATCGTATATCATTTATACGTGATGTATCATCAAAAACTTCAACACAATTATGTCAATTTTCATCATCATTAGTTCAATCACCATTACAACCAACAACATCAAGTACAATAACAGATCCATCATTTGAAGATACAACATCAGAACAACCATGTGATACAACAAGTGAATTTTATTCACAAAGTTTTGAAACAAATATTGATAGTAGTAATTCAAAAATAGTTGATGAAGAAATTTCTGAAAAACAACAACAACAACAACAACAACAACGATTAACATATGATGAACGACATCGTCGTTTAAGTCTATCAGCACAACCTGTGATACAACAAACAGTACAAAAAATATCTTCATTACCCTTACAAATAACTGAACAACATCATAGTGATAGTCTTAATTCACCAGAAGCAAATATTGATGTTAGTATGGTAAGTTTTATAATCATCTTCTACAACAATAAAAAAAAAAAATTTTTAAATATTTAATATAAGAATATTATTCTTTGTTAAATATATATATCTATATTTAATCATTTAGTTAGCAATTATTTAGTTATACTTATCAATGACCTTGTAATATTTGTCATATATAGAAGCAAATAACTTACAACTACAACATATAGAAAGAAAATGAAGTGAAAAAAAAATATAAGAAGATGTCTTTATTTAGAATATTCACATAAATAGAGAATAGAAAAATGATAATAATAATAATAATAATAACAAAAAGATAATATGCATGTACATCATTCTATATGATCGTCTAAGACTACTATTCGCTCTTTTTTTTGCCATTCTATATATTCAACCTATAGTCATCTAAAGACAATCAAAAATTTTGACATAAAACATGTTGTAGTTGTCTAAGCACATCAAAAAAAAAACTATTCTGTTATTTCACATATAAAAAAAAATGAGAAATGGTCTCAAGTGACATAAATCATTCATTCTTAGTTTCTATTTTTAAATAATCTTACACTACAAAAAAAAATAATAATAATACTAATAATACTCTTTGAAATTTCTACAGGCAATAGATTATTTTTCTACTCCAATAATAACGACACAATCAATAACAGAAAATTCTTTAATATCAAATAATAATAATAATAATAATAATAACAATAATTATCAACAAATACATCACACAAGTAATCGACATTCTGATACATGGGCACGTAAACGAGCATTAATGCATCGTGATTATCAATGGACAACAACATTAGATGATGTTGAATCAATAACAAATAATAATCCAACTGTTTTATTAGAATCAATAACACATACAAATCAAAAAATTTTATCATCATCATTACCTTCAACAAAAACAAATTCTAAAACGGATTCATTCAATGTAGGTTTACGTCGACGACGTTCTTCTCGTCGTTTACCTGAAATTCCTTCAAATTCTAAAATTTCATCAAATAATAATGAAACAATTTATATAGATGAAATTAAATTTCAACCATCACCATCATCATCATCATCAACATCACATAATAATGAACAACAATCATCTCAACTTATACATGAAAATTCTATTTGTAATAATCGTTCAAAAACTATTAATTCAGATTCATCATTACCATCTCGTTCAATACATACAAAATTATTACATACACATCAATCACAAAATACGAAATCAGTTGATTTAGCAAATTTAACACGACGAAAATCATTTCTTATTATTAATAATACATTATTACCACAACGTTCACTTGATTATCCATGTATTGTACGTAAAGCACCTGATCTATCTGATATTGTTCGACAACGTATGTTATATTCAAGAATGTCAAAACAACAACAAGGAGAACATTTTTCTCTAAGTCTTGAACGTGAACATGTACCAAAAGTACCAAGAAAAATTATTATTAGACAAGATAATAGCATCGAAATTGCATTAAGGTAACTCTATATACTACAAAAAAAAAAAAGAAAAAATTTTTCATATTAATCATTTCCATTTTTGTCTCTAAATTAAAATTCCTTATATAAATGAATGAATTTCAAGATAATAATGTACAATATCAAAAAAAAAAAATCGAAAATTTCATTAAGAATCTAGAATTTTTGAATTCAGACTCGCATTCTAGTCTGTAAATATTTTTATCAAAACTTGTTCTTTTTTTTTTTTTATTCTAAATCTGATTATCATTCCAAAGATACAAAATCCTTTTGTTTTTCGATGATTTGCATTCGATAACTAATTAATATAATCTAACATTTCTTAGAATATCTTGATGATGATCTTATAATAATCAAATTATAATCGACTCATACTCTTAAGGCAGAATTTGTTAGTTAATCTTAGATCTAGAATCTACTCTAAAGAAGACTGAATAAAATAAAAAAAAGCGAAAATTGATTGAGAACGAACAATAGTCGAGAAAAAACAAAAGTCTTCAAACTGAATACAATATCAAAAAAAAAATATATATATCCGTTTAAAAATGATGTGCAGTTCTTCTAATTTTTATAATAGCATCATGTCAAACAAAAAAAGGAAATTTACTACTTTCTCATACACTATTAATTTGAATAGGCAGTAATAAAAAAAAGGAGAAAATTAATATTATTTCCTTAGTTCTTTTATTTTTGCAAAAAAAAGAAGAGTGTGAACTTGTAGTACTATTGAGCATTTGGCTATTGTTAAAGCTAATTTACTTCTTTTTTTTTCTCTCGGTAGGAAAGTAACATTTTACATAAATCATATGTCAACACAGTTTATTCACTGTCACTTAATCAACTATTTCAAACACACTTTACCATCTCTAATAATGAACATATGGACATCTTTTTTCTTGTAAAATACGATCTAAAAAGATATAGAGAAAGAAGAAATTTGGATTTCATTTACAGATATCTTGATAACGATTCATTATATACATGGCAGATGTTGTTGATATACGATAACAGTCCATATATAAATAACGATTTTCTTATTGCATTTCTGAGAGGATTAAGTAAAAGAATGATGAAGAAATATTTCCGAAAATTCATAGAATAAAACAATCTCTCTGTGATTAACAACAACTGCTACATTGTGTTTTACATTTTAATCGTGCATGAACTGTACCAACACAACTTTTTTTTTTTTATACATAAGATATTAGAATTGACTGCATAATCTAGTCACATAAATCTATAAAATAATTTTCTTGATTTAACTTTATGATCAGAATTAATTTTGATATAATATCATAAAAAATCGATGTGTCTAATAATTTTAACTTTAAAAATAAGTTCTGGTTGAAATATGTGTTACTTTATTGTGATTTTCAGTTTACTAATAACGTCTTTTTTTTTCAGTATTAGTTTAACTTATTTTTTTTTTGTTACTCTGTAAATTTCTCGACTATTATTCGTATTGATCGACCACCTACACTCTGAGATACTTTTTCAAATTTAAGATTTGAATTTTAAATAATCAAATGAATAAGAAAAAAGAAAAGATTATTCATACTAAATAAAACTTCATTTCATATATATTTCTAATAGACTACAGGATGATTCGAGAGTTTCTAGATAAAATATTTGATTTTGTTTTTGCATATTTAAATCTATCAGAGTCACAATTTTATGTTCTTTAAGAACATATGCTTATGACATTTCTGTCACTTTTGACTATTAAAAGTTATAATTAAATCTTGACAGAACTCAAAAATATTTCTAAAGGAACATAAATCTCATCTTTCTGCAGATAAATCTACTTCCTGTAGACATCAAATAAATTCTATAAATATACACTACTTGAGGATGATCTTTATTTTTCAAGATGACGAAGTTATGATGGAGGGTCATGTTGTGCTGAAAATGCAAAAAATAGTCCATTTTTCTTGCTATAGATCTTACAAAATCCATTAATGTACCATAACCGTTTTAAAAAAAAAACTTATAATTCAATCACAAAAAAATTCTAAGCATATATTCTCAAAGAGTACAAAATTCTGATTCTAGTATATTACTTCTCATTCTTTTGTTCGAATACATGTAAATATGTGAAAAATAATCAAATATATTGTCTAGAAACTTTCGATCAATTCTTTTTCTGGATAAATCATTTTTATTCTATTAAAATCTTGTTGAATTAATCTATAAATAATTTAATTTAATTTTTTTTTTATAGTAAACCACCTAAACTTCGTCGACAAACATTATCAGAAGAATTTTGTTATGGTTATAATCCTGAAGTTGAATTTGCTTCAATAGTACCAATAACAAATGCTTCATCAACACTTGGTCTACCTCTACCATCATCTGGATCAGGTTTAACAGCTGGTGATAGAAGAAAAACAATTGAAACATGTGAAAATATTTATTTACATGCTGAAGAAAGTTCAAAATTACGTGCACGTACACCACCATCAAATCCACATCGAATTTTACTTCATCGAGATAAAAATGATACATCAATACGAACAAATGGTCTTGGTATGCGTATTGTTGGTGGACAAGAATGTGAAGATAGTAGTCTTGGTTTGTAGAATATTAATTTTTTTTTGTTATTCAAAAAAAAAAATAAAAATATTTTATTTTATTTTTTTAAAGGATGTTTTGTAACAAATGTTTTACATGGTGGTCCAGCTGATATTCAAGGTAATATTGAAGTAGGTGATCAAATACTTGAATTTAATGGACATTCATTAATTGAATCAACATATGAAGAAGTACGAATTTTACAAGATCATTGTGGTGATATTGTACAATTAGTTGTTCAACATAATAATGTTAGATTACAAATAAATAATGGTCAAATATTATCATCTATTGAAATTTCAAGACATTTTGAAACTGTACCACGTTTATCATCATCATTAACACGAAAACGACGAAATTTACCACCATTACCACCATCATTATCATCAACAATTCCAAAACAGAAAAAAAAAGATTTATATGAAACTGTTGAAACACTTGAAGTACCAAATGTTAAAGAACTTAAACCAATATTAATTAATCGTGGAAGACTTCTAGGTAAAATATAAAGAAAATTATTAACACTTCCCCCCCCCCCCCCCCGCGAATTGAAATTTTTTATCAATTTCATTTTTTCTTGATCTTTTAAATTTTAATATATCTCTATTCAATTTATATAAAAATTTTTACACTCAAAAAAAAAAAAGAAATACAATAAGTAGCTATAAATTTATTTATGTAAATTTTCTAACACAACTATTCATATAGAATGATAGTCTTACTTAGCACATCAGTATTAGAGATGTTCATAGCGATGCGGCAGCATTTTTTTTTTCAAGGATATTGAAAAACTGCATGAATTTAATAGGATTTCAGGGTTTATAAATGAAATACTCTGAGATTGAATGAATCTGTATCAATATTTCTGGTCAAATATAGTTGCAGCAGTGAAATTAGAAACACTTTTTTGAAAACCATCGCGGTAGATTTTTTGTAAGACCGCGACAAATGTTCATATAGTGATTTGCATTGTTTGTTCTGATAGTCTTTAAAAAAATAAAAGACATGACTAAATATATTTCTCTTAAAATAATTTTAAAATATCTTTTTTTGTTTTGTGTTTTTGTAAAGCTCAAATTTGGCATGATGTTGATGATATGAAATTAGCTTTAACAATAATTCAAGCAGGTAATCTTCCTTTAAGATCGAATGGTGATCATCCATATGCATTTATAACTGGTAAAATGCTTTTTGAAGATCGTGGTTTTGATATGTTTGAAACAAAAATAATTCATTCATCAAATCCAATTTATAATGAAACATTTGTTTTTCATGAAGTTGAAAGTATGGATGTTCTTCATTTAGAAATATTACTTTGGGATAAAAAACAATATCAAACAAATAATGATATTACAGATGAATCTGATGAATTTCTTGGTATGATACAATTACCATTAAATGAAGCTAATCTTGAAGATGAACCACGTTGGTATGAATTACGTGATCGTCAAACACGTAAACCATCAGCAACAAATGTTACATTTAAATCATCATCAATAGAAAGTGCTGATAGTTGTCGTAAAATGCCACCATTATTATTATCATCATCATTAACAAATAAATATGATGAACGATTAAAAATATCTCCTGAATCATTAATACATACATTAAATCCTTCAATTGATTATAATCGAAAAAATTCTTTTACACAAACAACTTCTAAACATATAAATATAACTAATTCAACAATTCCAACTATTGTTATGACTGATATTGATGATGATAAAAATGATGACGAAAATTCTCGACGTCAATCATCAATAACAATACAATCAGTTAAATTAAAACGTCGAATATCAAAAGGTTTAGCAAAATTATTTGATGGTCATACAAGACGTTTTAGTGAATCAACACCTAATTCACCAAAAAATCCAACATCAAGAAAATTATCATCACAAATACATACAAATATTGATAAAGAACATCATCATATGGATTTATCTATTGGTGTTATATTAGAAAATTCATCTAATAATACAGATAAATCACCACGTCAAAGTATAATATCAACAATAAATCAAGATGAACAACAAACATTAATACGTCCTATTCCATTACAACAAATGCCTATTGGACAATTAATGTTACCATATATACCATCATCAAGACATTCATCTATATCAGGTTCAAGAAAATCATCAGCTACATCAAATTTTGATAGTGATGATGATATTGATAGATATTTTACATTATCCGAACAAGAACAAATAAATGATGATGATAATAATAATAATAGTAATGTTCAAACACATACTGTTGGTCCAGGACAAGTTACACCAAGAAATTATGAAAATATGATTCAAGATTATATAAATATGGGAAAAATTCAACTTGGTTTAATTGTTACAAAAGGTCTTTTAGAAATTGATATTATATGTGCAAAAAGATTAGAACGTATTATTAATGAAAATACTGATAATCATGGAGCAAGAATTGAAGATATTCCACCTGATACATATGTTAAAACGTAAGTTATTATTATGATCGTAATTTTATACTCTTTTCGAGTACGGACTTAAATATTTTGTCTTAATTTTTTGTTCAAGAGTAGTGAAAAACTTTTTGAAAGACCTAAAAAATTATTTTCAATAGTGAATAAATCCCTTTTCGAACATGCTAAAATTTGTCGAAGTCGGTCATTTTATTGAGCGGACACATCTCTCTAAAATGCGATATTGAAATGAACTGTAGCTTTCACTTAAAAGTGACACTACAAGCATTTTTTTCAAGATCTCCTTTCAACGTAAAATGATTATCGATTTTTCAAAAAATGAGTATTTAGAAAAAATGAAACAATTAAAAATTTAATAAGAAAATTTTTTTATTAATTTTCATATTATTTTTAAAGGTTTCTGAGTTCACTATTTTGTTTTGTACAAGTTTAGAAATAAGATTACAATATAACTGATTGTTTATGTAACAAAATGATTATTTTAAGACAGGACTAAGCGAATTTGTCATGTTTAGAAGATTTGATAAATCGTGCGACACTTTACATAGTATATTCTCATTAAAACTTTATCCCTTAAAATCTGATTTAATGTCACGTACATTCAAGTCGTCTGACAAAATATATTAGGATTATAGTAGAGAAGTTAGAGTAAAATTTTTAGTTCAATATCATGATATTTGAAAGAGAAATATTCACCAAACAAATAGTTCATTGTATAACCAAGAAATCTATGTAGATCATCATTCTAAATATTTAATTTTTTTTCTTTGTTAGAACATGTCAGGATGCACGGTATGAAAGAAACTTTCTTTTTTTATGTTCCTACTTTTCATGTGCAGGAAAAGAGTGACGAATTCAATAGAGATCTATTTATAGAAGAGCTTTTATATATAATAGAAAACAATGCTTAATTTAGAAGAAGAAAAAGAAGAAGAACCCAATCATGACCTGCATCGTGACATGTTGTTTTAAAAAAAAAGGACTATAATGAAGCTCGTTTGAAAATCTGGAATGTGCATTATTAAAACCACATAAACAGAGAAAAAACGGAAAAGAGTTTTTTTTTTTTTTTTGAATAGAAATTTTACAATATTGTAGTATTTTTAAACTCTATGCGTTTATCTACTAGTTAATTTCAAGTTTCTTTGAAATTTAGCAAAACTTTCTTAGATGCGTTTAGAATCCTATTTTATCATACAGACATCAATAAAATCGATGCTTTTGGAAAAAAGTCGTTTTTTTTTCAAAGAAGATTATGTTTATTTTGATGAAAGTTGACTTTTGTGAAGCACGATATAAATGAAGTGTTGAAGTGTATAGGGTAGACATTTGCAGTCCCTACCCTGCGTCACATACTGTGACAGAAATTGTTGATATACGATCAAACACAGTATATAATATATGAATTACTGCCTTAGCGCATTTCTAAAGGATTAAGTAAAAGTATGATGAAGAAATGTGCTCCAACATAGATAAAATAAAACAATTTTCATATAATTAGTATCCACAGCTACATTGTGTTTCATACATTTTAATTTTCGAAGAGATTCAACACTCAAATCTAGCAGAAAGTAGTAGCGTAACCAAAGATTGGCTAGGCCAAGCGTTGTTCTACCATCAAAAGAAAGAAAAATCTATAAGTTGCTATCATTGACACTATATTTCATGAATTTTTGTTCAAGATAATAGGACACTGTCCTACCATCCATGATCTCCTAATTACGCTATTACAAAAAGTGTTTTTGTGAAGCTATTTTGATCATTAAATGTACTAAAATAACATTAGTATTCTCGATAGTTCTATGCTTTTAACTAAACATTATCTATTGTCTCTTTAAATTAACTTTGAATAATTTGATTTACATCTGAAATAATTTTTAAAAGTAAACATAGAGCTTGTTGTTATTCTTTTTGTTAGATTCGATTATAGTATATCGAATTTTCGAAGTTAATATAGAAGAATTTTATTTAATTTTTCGAATTGAAATATGAATATTTTTATTTATTAATAGATATCTTCGAACGGGTACACGACGTGTACAAAAACGTAAAACTACTACAGTAAGAGGAAGTTATAATCCAGAATATCATTCAAAATTAAAATATAATGCATGCAATGTTATGGGTAAATATTTTTTTTTTTTTTTTTTTTTTTTTGTTGAAATATTTCAACTTTTTTCTTTTAAAATATTGTAAAATAAAAATTTTCAGGCCGTCGTCTTCAAGTAACAGTATGGCAACGTGGTGGTAAATTTGAAAAAAATCAATGTATTGGTGAAGCATTTATTCAACTTGATAATTTAACATTAAATCAACATACTATAGCTTGGTATATATTATTTCGAGAAAAATTAGTTGAAAGCGAATTTTATGATTCAAGTTGATGTCAGATTTTCGTCTGTTTTCATGTGATGATGATGATGATGATATTGTTATATGTATACATGTATTCATATACAATGAATGTTTTATTTTCGTTCTTCCTTTTATGGAGATTTATAATATTCACTAAATATTTAAAATCATTTTGTTATATGTCTTAAAATTTGAACTGATTTCTTTTTAATTCATTCAATGTAAAATTAAATTAAATTTATTAAATGATAAAAATAATACAGTGTTATTAACATGTTGATTACATGTTAATACTTGATCTAAGAATGTCATAAACAAAAGCTTATAAGATTATATTGATTATAAAATGAAAATGATGTCGCGTTTTGTTTTTTGTATCTTGATTGTTGAATAATTGATTTCAAAAATCTATAATAGTAGAGTTTCTTTAAATATTTACTCAAGAAACTACTTTACTGAATAAACGATTCTATAAAAAATTATTCAAAGAACTCAATATGATCAATGTCAATAATACGTAGTCATTTATAAAAGGTGTCTTAACAACTGTTTGTTATTATTTGTATTTTTTGATTTATACAATTACAAACAAAAAGATCAAATATTTTAATTTCCACTATATATTCAATCTTTGGATTTCGCATTCTTTCCTTCAAAATTCTAGATAAGAACTGTTAATAGAAACTGGAAAAGTCATTGCAGTAGTTCCTTCTATCTATTATATTAAATCAGCTTTTCCATTGATCATTCAATTTTCTTGAATTTCATACAATGTTTACTAAGATTACCTTTTGGAATATGATTTCGTAGGTAAAAAAAAAGACTAAATAAATCATAAATCATCTAATTCAATCTACATTCCATATCTTATTCCTTATAGAAAGCATCAAATATTTTTTTGATTATAATAAAAGTTTAATTATCACAACGGGAAAATTCACACGTTTTTGGTTTTTATTAATTTTTGCTGCCATTCAAAGATAAATTTCTCGGTAAAGTTCAGATGACTGAAACAGACGACAATATATTTTATTATGATGTAATTTATTCCAATTTTCTTTTGTTTACACATTTGCATAATCGTAATAGTACACGGGCACATTAAGGCACCCCTCGCTTGATGAATAAAATTCGAAAGAATCTTTGAATCATTACTCTTTCTCGTCATTGTGCATTAAATTGTTACTTCGGTATGAAGTATAACATGATACGCATAAGAAAAAGGATCTGCATTATTTCAATTAGTTACGGTAGTAGATGCTATCGACATCACAGTCCAATGAACCGATTCTTTTTCGAGAACTGTATCGTGTGAATATTTCTCTTTTTAGAACTAGATCTAATGATCAATTCGTTTCTTAAGAATTGAGTCCTTCTATTCTAGCATTAAGTTTCTGTTAGTTTCATTCCAACATGTTTGTGTAGTTGACAAGCATGACCTAGAATGAAGCGATTATAAATCTAATAGGCAGATTAAGATGAAATGTTTGGTGACACTAGTTTATTCAAATATAACTGCTATATAGATCAGTTCCTATCGAAAGAACTGTTGGGATAGTTCTCAAGATCGAAATTGTCGTAGGTCTAATGAGGAGGAGCAGAGAGCCACAAAACTTCGACTTAAAATTTATAATCATTATTTTCTTCAAAAATATATGTGAGCTCTACAAAATCTCGATGTGGATACTGTAAAAACTCAATCCAACTTAATTTTCTTGAATTTCTAACGTTTGGACGATGGGCATATCTTGTAGTGTCTGCATCACATGACATTCATCCATAAGAAAAGAAGCTCAACTGAAGAGAGATTCATTTTGATGAAATCATAATGTTAGCTTCTATATAGACTTGAAATTGATCAGATAGAACTGAATTAAAACCTATATCTAACCAACAAAGACATTTGTTAATCGAGTAAAAAGAAAATTCATAGTAGACAACCAACATATCACTTATTGTTATGAATTTTCCTAATAAAGTCGAGTATTTAATATAGATTCTATTATAGCTTTATGTTCATACTAATGGTTGTTATACTGTTAAAGTAAAGATAAAGTATCACCGCTAATTTGTATAACATGGATTGAATATTTGGAATAGATTTGAGAGAATCACTAAAAAAAGAACTAATATTTTTTAAGATCTCTGCAAATACTTTAATTTTTTATTTAAAAAAAAAAGCAGATATGTTTCTTTGTCAACAACAATACTAAATCAATATTTTACTTTAATTTCAGAAATCAATAGATAGAACTGATTGAAATTGTATACCGTTTTAATTCAATTGTTCCATAGAATGATATATTTTCAAATTTCTCAGAGAGAAAATTTATTTATTTCCTATAGAATGAATAGATGATAAACTCAATGTTTGAATTATTTAATAACAATTTCTTCAATAAACTTGTGCAATGATTTCAATATATTATACAATTAATCTTTATGCAAAAAATTTCAACATCAAATGACGAAACAAAAAAAAAACACAAAAACTCATGAAATTCATAATGAGAATTTGAAGAGATTTTGAAATTTTATATAATTTATATTTATGATCCATGTTTTTTTTCTAATATTTGTTGTTGAATTTGTTGTTGTTTTATTAGATTTATTTGTTTACTAATATAAATAGATTTTTCTAAATTAGTTGCAATATTCTAAATAAAAAGAAATATTTTAGTTAAAATTATTAAAACAAAAAAAAAATATACAAAATTGATTTTACATTTAAATGTTCATCACAAGTTACAAGAGATTTAACAGCATCAACACTATATTCAATATCAAAAATAAGACCATTCATACGATCATGTAAATTTTCAAGTTCAATTCGTTTTTGTATCATTGTAGGTAAAGATCTTCGTACATGTTCCTAAAAGATACAAATAAGACCAAAGAAAAAAGAAAAAAATTATTCTTTTCATTTACTTGTATTCGATAGAAAGCTAATGATGGTTCATTAGCATTTGATTGTATTGTTTCATTTATACTACGTAGAGATGAACGTACTTTAGCTTCTATATCAGGATCAAAACGATTTGGTGAAGAATTTAAACGAGATTCCATTAAACTTGATGATGATATCATATTTACAAAATAAAAATATCTAAATAAATCATTATATTAAATAAGAATTGATATCCAATGAAACGAGTTTTCTGTTGGTGACCTCTATTGTCAAAGTCCGCGATTGATGTTATATCAATCACACTTTGTTTCATACTAATAGAAAAATATATTCAATATTTCCAACATTAACTATCTCAAGCAAAAGCAAAATATCCAAGGTTCTTACAATTTAAGAAAAAAAAAATTCTACTGTGCACTTTCTCAGGGCGAATAGTAACAGCGTCTTAAATATGCATGCTATTGAATTAATTTTTACCGTATCTTCGTCGTAATCTTGTTTTATTAGCTGACGAAAAACAGCGACGTAATGATATCGTTTACGGTAATGGTTTCTTAGATCTGAATTACTTGAAAAAAACAAAGTAGAAAAAGGACTTTACTTCTTTCATTATAGCATTATTAAAAAGTTGCTCGTCATCATCTTGTTTGAGACTTCCAAACTTGTTTCTTCTACATATTTTTTTCACTAGTTCTTTTCGAATGTATTAACATATACGAATAAGACCAATAATAAGTCGTATTTTTTTTTTATTTCTAATATACATATGATAGTAAAAATTAATTCAGACAATTATTTCTTAAAATATGTGTATAATTTTTGTCATCATCTCGATATTATTTTTTCGTACTTTGTTATTTTGAACAAAATACTACATTCCTTAAGCTGATGTTTCACCTTTCGAAAATGATATCATTTTCGAAAGGTGGAACATCTATATAAGAAATACCCAAAATACTAATAGATGTTTTATTAATAGAAAAAGATACTTTGTTTCAAATTTCTATTGAAAACCTTGAATGTATTAAAAAATTAGATGTACAAAATACCCATTGATTTAAATTAATTCTTATTTTTTGTTTTTTTTTTAAATTATTGATAAATAATTTCTAGGTTAAGAACAAACTGAATTTTTTATACTAGAAATCATTATAACACTTTAAGGATATGAATAATAATTGAAAGTAGTTAGAAATTATCAGAAACCATTAGCAATTATAGTAAATCTCAAGTAATAAGATTAAAACTAAAGCATTCTTTTTTATTGATTTTTCTTGACTTTCAATAATTGCTAATGTTTCTAGCGGTTACTCTCGTTTGTTTTTTGTTGCATTCCAAAACATTTGCATTTTATTCATAGATGATTTTAATAATAAAAAAAAAAAAGAATAAAAGGAATAGTTTAACAAAATATTGAAAATATAATTTGACAGCTAAAGTAAATTTGATAGATTTTACTTAAATCAGAATTTATCTAATACAGTAGAGTTGAGATTTTGAAGATCTTATGTTGAAATTTTTAGATTAATTATGACACAAAATTCTCCATCGAAATTTATTTTACTTCATCCAATTGAAAATCATCGAACGACATGTCAAAAAACGAAAAATACAACACAAAATATAAGTACTAATACTGATGATATACAATTCAATCATGATATATCTACTAATACACCAAATTATGCTGAACAAATGGCTACAGCATTAGATAATGGTAATACTGCTGAAGAAATTGTTCAAATGCTTATGCAAAGTATAGAATAAGATAAAACTTGAAAGAAAAAAATCAAAGAGATAATGTTTTTTTCTTTATTTTAGATGAAGCTTCTGAATCTTATTGGAAATTAATAAGTGAACGCCGAAAACAAGCTATTGAAGAAACAGTTGTTGAAAATGAACAAGTAAATTAAATGAATTAATTTATATCTAATCTATTCGCTTTTTTTTCTCTAGTTACATAATGTTATTGATGATTTGAGTAAAGAAAATGAACAACTTCGTGCTTTGTCTGATCATTGTGATTATTTACAAAATGTTCTCAATGTAATAAATATTTTTTTTTATTAAATATTTTTCATATATTCTTGTATTCTTCTTTTTTGTTTTTAGTCATTTACTAATGAACATGATAGTCTTCTTGATGATAGTTCTACCAATTGAGTAGATGAAATAAAACGAACTTTGATATGTGTGTGTGTATTATTTTTTTTTAATGTATATGTATAAAATTCGAAATGAAAGAAAGATATTTTTGAATAAAATTATCGAAAATACGATTTTTTTTTTCATTGTAATCTGTATACACGATACTTCATGTTTGTTCAACTTTCGTGCATTTATAAGTCATCAGAGTTAATCAAAAATAGTTAACTGCTTGACATGATATTTCTATACGCGATACTTCTGTGTAAAATTAGTATTTTGAAGGTAAGTATGAGAGCAGTAGCACAAACACACATAACAGAAGCAAGACCTGATAGAATCTTGGAGGTCTGGCTGTATCTAAGTAGAATTTGTATATCTACTAAAATAACTAGGGAACTACCTCAATTCTTATCTTAAACTTTACAATTGAGTTATGACTGTTTTAGTGAAATCTCGACCTGAAATTCAGTCCATAGATGATAGGTCTAATGATCCTTAGAATATCCTGAAAATCGCAGTCGAAAAGAATGTTCATGTATCGAGATATTAGGTATTTTCGAGTAATTTTTACTTTTTTGTTATTGTAGAGAATTAAATCTTCTGCAAAATTATGATCTATAATAAGCTAGAATTCATAAGAATTGAAAGCTATAAACAATTTTCGAATAGCAATTTTTTTCCCAAATTTTAATATTTAAAAATGCAATAGGTTTTGATCATTTATAGTAATATATAAAACGATCAACACATAAGATATTTTGTAAATCTAACCTGAAATTGTATATAGATATCATTTTTTATCCTCATCAATGATTTGCTCTAGATAAATCAGTTTTAAGTCAAAAAGAAATTCTAAATATATATGTATAGAAAGAACATGAAATTTTAATTCTATTTATAAGTAAACGAAAATGAAGCACATACTTTATGCAAAGACTTTTTACACATAGATCTTGCTTCAATAATAATGTTTTATACATCAAATGATTATTTCTAGTTCAGTATTTAGCTGTAGTCAGCATTGTGATAAACGTATTTAAAGCTAGATGGAAAATGCATAGTATGAATTCAATGGAGGAAAGTTTTAAAGTAATGATCCTTCTATTAATGCAATATCGAACTTTGTATGTTATTTAAATCAAATGAAAATTTGGTCAAAAATAATATTTTTATGGATAATTTGACAAAGAGAAATATCAATAGCTTAATAAAGTATAGGGAAGTATTGGCTATTGGATAAACGTTAATCAATCGAGAAAAAGTTTCAAGAGAAATTTCTTTCAGTAAACATTTGAAGTTTCAATTTAACAAGTATGTCATCATTTCACACTAATGATCAACTATCGTTAAAAGACATTTTTTGCTTTGATCGAATTGAAGTTTAACTTTTATGAATATCTTTCGGTTAAAAACTAATTTCGTTTGTTCAATAAATCTCCTAACAATGTGACTACATCAAATAATCCGAGGACACGATTTTCTCATCCAATTTGAGACGATTTCTATAGGAAAATTTTTCTTTTCAAGTTACAAAAAATATAACAGAAACAAATCATTAGATTAGCTTTCGAGTGTAATGGACTACATAGTTTCATAATAAATGATAAGATAACAGCGACTTTGTATAACATTATTGAAAATATTTTTCACAAAACTAAGACAATAATTCGATGAGTTTTCATACTCTGGATATGATAATTATAAAAGATGTTGACATAACATTTTGTTCTACTCAAAGAAAATCGAATATGGACATCTTTCTATCCGATTGAACTATTATTTAAATATTCAATATCTCTAGAAAACATACATTCATTTGAGCTAAAATTTTAATAATATTTAAATGAACTTGAGATTTATCTATGAACAAAATATCATGCCAATAGTTCGTAAGGCGAGTCTTCATAAATACTATTCCTAAAGGATAAAAAAGCCAGTCAGGCATAGATCCTTTTAGATTTCTACTAATCGTATTGAATCTTATTTATGATCAAAAAATATCAGCTCGATTGATGCATTATTCTTGCAAAATTTCTATTGTTATACATATCAATATAATAGATATAGTTAATTTTGATTCATTTTTATTTTATTTGTAATCTTTGCGTTTATTTAACAACATCGATTAGCTTTTTTCCATTTTATTCACAAGAGAGAAACACAAAATAAACACAACAAAATATTTATATCTATATCTATCTATAGTTCATAGAATTGTTGTTGTTTTTTTTTTAATATCAAAACAAACGTCCACGAACTGATGATTTATTTGCATTTTGAATATTATCTTCACTAGTTAATTTCTACAAAATAATAAAATTTAAAAAAAAAATATATATATATAATGGTCTATTATTTTACTTCAATAATATCAGTTAAATATTCACAATGATCAGCAACTGCACGTAAATTTTCATTATCTTTATTTAATCCATCAACAATTTCATGAAGCTTAAAAACAAAAGAATATGAATTCTTTTTAACAAAAAGAATTTATTTTATATTAATTACTTGGTGATTTTCACGTGTTACTTCTTCAAGTTTAATTCGATAATGTTCAGCCATAATATGCCAATATGATTCTAGTGATGTTTCTAAAACAGAAAAAATCAATCAATATTTATCATATTATTTTAATAAGAAATTTACTTGGAACAAATTTTTCAAATTCATTTGTTGGCATTCGTATACCAACTTGAATAATTGATGAAATATCATTATTTGTATCTTCAACAGGTAGTAATCGTTTACAAACAGCATTCTTTTTCTTTATTAATTGTCCATCAATTATAATAGGCGCATGCTAAAAGATAATATTACAAGAGAACTTGTTTGACCTAATGTTAGCAGATTCTCCGTGAGATTACTATGTAGTGACATCTTTTGGCCACTATGAGGGAATAAATTCCTTCCATTGGCACGAAGATTCTCAGCACACACACACACGAGAGATATGTAACTAATGATATCATCCTTCGTCGAGGATGTATATCAATCAGTCTATTATAGTTATCGAATAAAGGATAATCGACTTCCTTCACTAGCCATTTTCTCACTTAAACTTCTAAGGGCATATTATCATTACGTGTATGCAGACTTACGAGGGAGCATATGAAAGTGTTCCTCCTAGAAACGAAGCTTATCTTGTAGAGAATTCTTTTTTTGATCATTTGACATTTCAAGAATGAAGGCTGAGAAAACTAAACCATTCTGGACTTTCATATTACTCATTGCCTCCGTCAAATATCGATTTGACACCCAAAGAAGTTATTTCTTCGTCAGCACTGGAAGAAAATCTACCGAAGTAAATGAAATACAAAGGATCATTCCGGTTTTGTCCGAATATTGATTGTATATCTATGTTTAAGGATGTTATATTATAAAATTGTTTTCACATTACCTTTTTTGTTGCTGATTTAGGCGACATAATTCGAATACTTTCGAATGTATTAACAGATAATTGTTTAAGTGGTGCTTTTGCCATCTTTTTTTTTTTTTTTCTAAATATTATAATCTGAAAAACATATAAGAACATATTATTTATTTATCTTCATATTAACAAGAAAATTATTTATTCTATACAAAAAATAAAACAACACGAACTGTTTACATTCGACTACGACGTGTTGTTCGTTTAGTTTTTGATTGTAAATTTGTATTCATTGTTGTTGATTTTCCTGTATTTGAAAGAATTTTTTGTGTTACATCATTTGTTCTTCGAGTTTTTTTTATTGCATGATGTCCATTGGATGTATTATTATTACCTGATTCATAAAGAATATTTCCTATTAAATCATCTGTTATATGACGACTTAAATAATTCCAAGTTTTTAATGGAGCATTTTCATTTGAATCTTTTCGAAATTCAATTGTCTTTTTTTCATTTAAATCATCTTAATTTGTCCAAAAAAAGGAAAAATTAATTCAAAATATTTATACAAAAAAAAATTTCTATTTACAAGCAATTAATTGATCATTAATAGATTTTTTTCGTGTTGATGGTAATATAGTTAAATTAGTTAATTGACGCCATAAATCAATTTCACGTCTATAAAAAAAAAAAAAAATTCTATTTTTGATTATAATAAATAAATAAAAATTTTTACTTTTTACATATTAAATCTTCAATAGCATAATTTTCTTGTTGTAAATGTTCTTTTAAATGATTATTTTTTATTTGAATTTTTTGAATTAATTCATCAAGAATAATATTTGAATTATCTATTGTTTCTTCATTTTTTTGAATATGATCTAAAGAGAGAAGAAACATAAGAATTTTATTCAACAAATTAATAAAATAATCCATACAAGTTCGATAACATGATCGACGAGATTTCCGAATTGTTCGAAAATCTAAATAAAAATTTTTCATATTAACTTTTCTTTTAACAGAAAAACAAAATCATCATTCATTAATAGTAACCTGTTTTTGAATTAGCAACTATTTCATCAACAGGTGGTAATTGCATTGAAAGAAATACATCACGAATTGATATTTCAGTCATGATGAAGAATTTTCAAATAATTCTATTTAGCAAAAAAATATAAAACGAAGACGACAAAAGATCGAGGACAAAGACCATGTAGTGGACTAATAAAGAAATCGCCAGAAGATAGAGGGCGTTAGTAAATGAAAAGAATGAAGAACTCTCCAAGATGAAATATTATGACCGTCGTAAAGATTATAAATTACGATCGTATTATTTGACCCCTGGATTATGATCGTATCTCATCATGTTGTATATACGTCCAGTGTACATCATCGTATTCACATTAGCTTCTCCTTCTCAATGAAGAGGAGAGGGAAAGAGCGACTTTCTCTGACCTTCTACTCCCATAAACAAACAAAAATTTATTTAAATTATTACTTATTGTTGACTATTTTTTTTTGATATAAATCGAAATAAGAAAAATACAGTTTAATTTTTCTAAATGAATACTTACATCATGTTGTATTCAAAAGTAAGTCTTGATTGAGATTAGCATCTCAACTCACGAGTAAGTTATGATAGTCGTTTGTATATATGATAAAAATCAATCCTATTTATACGTGTATCGTCGTCTATGGCGATTATGTTCGTCCGCCGTACATTGTTACTGCTTTTTGCCGTCTATGGCCGTACTTCTTCAACCTGGGCTTCTCTTTATAAGATATATAAATTTGAAAATAAATTTATTTTGTTTTTATATAAATTGCAGTATCACTAATGTGATCGTAACACAAACGTATTCTTGAGACGGTAAGAATTGTAAACGTTCATACAAACTTATATTTGATACATTGATTATTGTACTATTATGAATTCTGTCATGTGAAAGTTACTTTTATTATTTTTATTTGTGATGAGATAACTGATCTAAACTATTGATACTTTGACAATTCAATGCACTTTAAAAATAGAAGGAGATCTGTCTTTGACTTGTAACTGGTCGAAAACTTTCGAACCGGTTGGGTCCTATCGATTTGTTGGGTCATTTTCAATTGATTAATAGGAATAACTCTAAAACGAACACTTATTTGGCTTTTTACATTCATGTTTTTACAAGTCTTCACGAAGAAATATCATGTTATAGTCATTTATATCTGTTAGGTTTTTCAAAGATGAATATGTGTTGGTTTACTGTATAGTACAAAAAAAAGAGTTATTTAACCGATAGCTGATTGCTAAACTCAAAATCTTGAATTTTTCTACTCAGATTTTGCAGATCAATCTAACGAATCTCTTCACACAACATTCCAGACTTGAATCTGATCTCTAAAGAAACATTGATGAAATACGTTGGGAAGTTTAGCTTTAGTAACACGATGAAATATAGACCGATTAAAAGAAATAAAACGGATCTTTTTTTTTGAAACAAAACTATTTGATTATTTTGAAAAAATCATTCAAACTTTCTCTCGACATATGTTTTATCAGAGAAAAATGGCATGTCAATAAAATTTCTTTTAATCAGATCGGTTACAACTCTGAGTTGAATTTTTTGTCTTAATGCCTAACTAAACAGTAACATCCAAATTCTTCTCTTGGTATCTTCTAGTGAAATCCATCCCCTTTATGTTTATACCTGCGGCGAGTGTCCGTCGGATCGTAACTTTGGCATTCTCAGTGAAATTTTCTAATCCGAACGGAATGGTTGTTCCGAAGAAACGATATATTTTTCGGATTCAAACCTGAGCGATTGCAGGACTAACCCAGCAGGCTCAATCTGAGGAAAAAATAATTTGCAGTTTCATTGTTCAATATTAATTCCTAACCATTTTAATTTAGTCGTTTAAATAATCTATATGTTCAACTTTAATATATTCAATATTGACCAACTATTAAATCGATTTAAATCAATTTTTCGTTTAAAATTCAATATTCTATGGTCATATATTAGTTTTTACTAATGATTAGAATAACTCATTGAAATAAATATATAATAAAACTATTTTATTTTCAATCTAACACTATAGTTATATGTTATTTATTATAATATTCTTATCTAATCTTTCTACTTGAATTCATATTAAGAATTTCTCTAAATCATATTGCTAATCTTCAATTTAATAATTAATTAAAAACATATATAGATAATTGATTATAGAATATATTCATCGTTATATCATGAACGATATGTTGAAACAATCGAATTATTGTGGAACTCACCTATGTTTTAGAAGAAAATAGTGAGTGGAAGTGTTTAAGTTCAAGTTTTGGTGGCTCCCGCCCACCCTCTTCCCAATTAGAGACCTCAGCAACTACACACAAAAAACTTAAGATTTACTTAACAATAGAAAAAGGCTTGAACGATTCGAAGAATATCAATTTGACTGATATAGAATATAATAACGTTTTCATAATTATTTGAAAAAACTAACATATGCACTTAACTAAATTCTTAATAGTATAATCGTTGACCTTTTTAAGAACTTAAACTTGTATGATAAAAATCAATGGTGAATAGTGCTAATAGGTATTTATCTGTCCGTCTTATCGATGATATGATCAATAGAAGAAGAAGAAGCATGATTCGATATATTTATTAGTGTCAGAATGGAAGAATATGATTATTGATAAATTAATTGAGATCTATAAAACTATTGTAACGAATGACTAATGCATATTAAAAATGCATTATTCTCATACTACTATTTATGAAATAGTTGATGATGATAAAATTTCAAATAAAAAAAAACAACGCGCTCAAACGAACGAAAAAGATAGTAGGAGTTTTAAATGTGGAAATAAATAATAAAATATTGTTTATGTCACTGATTAGTTATAAGAATAATTATAATCAATAGAAATCTTTCAGTGTTAGAGATGACATATTAGGATAACAACTCTCAATGATATAGGTCAGTGTCCACATTTCAGCGTCCTTCGGAACGGCACTAACTAGCTCTTTTACCATTAATAATAGTAAGATAGTTCGAGTTTTTCATTAAAAAACGTTTTTTCGTGACGAGAAGAATATTTTTCATATAAAACTGATTTTATTTGTTTATGAAGATTTTTTAATGAGAAAAAGGTTGAATTGAAAATTTAGATATTTGTATAAAACTCAAACGAGATGTTATGTTTCAATGTTATTGTTGTATAATATAGAAAACATTATTGTTTTTAAATTATCTTGTTAATTATTGAATAAATTTGATATTTAGGGTCATGATATAAGTGTTAGTGCAAGTAAATTTCGTTCTGGTTCGGGTGAACCTGTTGTTTATATTCTCAATCGACTTGCTGATGATGCACTTAAAAAAAATGGTTTTAATTGGCGATTGTAAGTTATATATATGAATAATAGAATCATCATATGTTTATTTTATTTTTTTTTGAGACCCGAGAAACCTGATGAATTACCTGATGCTGATGATTCCGGTCTTAAAGATGATGATAATGAAATAGATGTTAATAAAATTGATGAAGAAATGTTTAATAGAGTATTATGAAAAAAATCATATAATGATATAAGATAAAATTTTTTTTGTCATTTTAGGATACTGATGCTGATGAATATGAAGAAGATGAAGCTGTTATTAATATGGCAACATTAACAAAATTAGGTTTAAAATCAAGTTCAGTTGGTGCTGCTGCAATATCTGAACCTGAAATTCGTCCGGAATTAATTATGAAATCAACAACAGATGCAACAGAATGGAAATTAGAAGTTGAACGTATTTTACCACAACTTAAAGTAACATTTAAAGCAGAAAATAAAGATTGGCGTGCACGACAAGAACAAAGTTTAACATATAAATCACAAATTGCAAATTCACTTAAAGATGCTGAACAAATGTTAACAAGATTTCATACAGATATTGCTAAATCACTAGAAAAAATAACAACACGTAAGAAAAAGAAAAAATTCGAATTACTATCGATGATTATTTGAATTTTTTTTCAATTCTATAGGTGAACAATATATTAATTCTCAATTAAATGATTATGTTCATGAATTTCATCGACAACAAGATTTATTAGCACAAGCTAAACAACATTATCGTCATTGTTCATCAGGTATTACAGAAAAATCTCAACAATTAGCTCAAATTACAGCTGAATTAGCACAAATTAAAGAAGAAATGGAAGAAACAGGACAAAATGTTACAGATGGAGGTTTGTCTTTTGTTTTTTATTTCATTAAATCCAAATTATATGAAAATATTTAGGTCCTTTGGTTAAAATAAAAAAAGCTATTGAAGAATTAAATCGTGATATAATTCGTGTTGATGTTCGTATAGCTGTATTAGAACATACTCTTATGCAATCAAAAGTACGTGAAAAAGAAGAAGCCAATGATGAGAAAGCTGATTATTTACTCAATGAACCAGACTTTGAATAAATAGTTCGTTTCTTCTTCTTTTCTTTTCTGTACTTTGTTGCAATACATGTTTTATATGAAATTGCACATTGATTTGAAAATAAACTTTATTTAGAACAACTTTTCATAATTATAATTCAACTCAATCGAAAAAATTTTATATTTCAATGTTGTTTGATTGACGTCAAAAAAAAACATTGAAATAATTATTAAATTTAGATTCTATTTACTTGTATGTTTTATTTCAAGAAGTTTCTTTGCCCATTATAGAAAAAAAGAAAGAGAATTTGCGACTATTGTTTTCTATTGCGTAGAACTCAATAACATGAAGAAAGGCAGAAATATGTCCTTAACTAACAAAAATTATTCTTTTTTTATTTCTTATTTCTATTGCGAAATCGGATAATTAAACTATAAAATTCATAACTCAAATAAGAAGTTTAATAATAATGACCAAAAAACAAAGGTCTGAAGCGGTGAGCACAGAATTCTCTATAGAAAGATTGGTGTCTTATTGTGGTCAAAATGTAAACTATAATAAGAATGATGAGAAATACTATTAATGAAATTACAAGCATGATGACATTGAAATGTACGATGTCAGAAAGAAACTGATTCGTTGACTGTATCAATCGTAAAACTGACAAGTGGATCAAATCGGCTGTCAAGCATCGCACAATCGATGTTAACTGAGTGCATATATCTTTTACTAATTTATATCTAAGTTATAATAAAATAAAAAAGGTCACAAATGATTTATAGTACTACTTATTATTCAGATTCATTAAAACTTTTCTATGGTTATTCGAAAAATGATGTACCTTCAATAGAGGCACGACATGTTGTATTATTCATCTGGTTTTCAGTTCATCTTCAATAAAGAAAAAAAATGAAAAAGTTCAGTATTCTGCGTCAATTACTAATGAATTTTCATAAATAAGAGAATCAATAGAAAGTACTCCTGGGGTTCCCCTCAGGGATCTGTCAGAGAATGATTTTTACCGAAACTCGATTTTTATTGTTGAGGGTGTCGGTGTGTGGGTGTGGCTCTTCTCTTTTCGCATTCACACCCACACTCACACCCTATAATTTCAGTAAAATGCTATAACTCTGAATAGAAGGCCTAAGCGGATTTAATCTTTTGGGATTTTTCATACCTCACTGCTGTCTATCTTATGCGCAAGGCCCGAACTAAAAAAGGAATCGGACAGTTGAAAACGTTCCCTCGTCAGCTACAGTTGCGTGAATAAGTACCAAAATTTTGCTGCATATACAAATAAAGAATCTCTAAAAAATAAAAATAAAATGACCTCACAAAACTGCTTTGTAAACGTATACTTCATATCATAAAGAAATACTCTATTATACACTTTTTGTAGTCCAGCAGAAAGATTGTTTAATCTATAACTTTACAATGACTTTGAGTTTCAAAGTGAAACGTTTGCTACAAATGCAATTTTATACAATTTATCAAATAGCAAAAAAAAAAATCGAGAAAACAGATGGTACTTATAACTATGGTTCGAATTTCTAAGAGAAGCTCTATATAGTAATCAAAGACTCGGAAAACACGATCAAAAAAAATAGCACGTTTGCTCTCGATTAATATTTATTTTTTCAACATGCCTAGAAGCAAAGAAAAGTCGACCATGCGCAAAACAGAAAACATAGGCTGCTAGAAAATGTTCATAAATGATGGATAAAATTACGTACACAAACTCTTTATCTCGTCAATAGCTATTAGTCAACATTTCGAATAATACTAGATGAATTATATAATTAATAAATGACTCTCACAATTCATTTAAATAATTTACTTAATTCTTGTTTATTGCACTATCCTATCAACTGAATCGGAACTTTATTTACCGCGTAACTGAATATTTGCGGACTTTTAACAAGATTTATTAATGAAAGTATGGAAATACATAGCATGCCAATTTCGGATTTATTCGCTTAAAAGAATTGTTGACGTTTCGATTTGGACTAAAAACTTGTGTCGCTTTTTTATTATCAAGATGATTAGCCGTTTTCAAGTTAAAAAATATACAGATGAAATAGCACTACGAAAGCGAACATAATCCGTGTTAATTAATTATCTTGAAAGTCTCTTTTTAACAAATATTCACTTATATAAAATATTAGATTTTGTAAAAACAGGAAGCCAATTAGTTACGAAATTGTCCACGCCTCGCCACTGCTCAAGAAATTGCTACATATGATATTATCTTCTATCTTCAAATGTTCAAATATTTATACTAACTATAGTAAAAATATGATAAGTATTTATTTTTTATTTAAATGATAAAATGATGATAATTAGTATATATGTGCATGAGGAAAATAGTCTTTTAAATGTTCAGGAAATTTTAATTTGTTACGAAACACTATATAACTTAATTTCGCGCAATTACTTCGAGTTGTATTTCTTCTGAAATTACGTGTCACTTTTTTTACTAATCGATAGTCGATACGAATACGAACATCATTTGGTAAACATGTTTTAGTATCGAATAAAAATTGTTCATGATAATCTTTGTGAGCTTCACTAAGATTAAGTTGAATAAGATGTGGATATTTAACAATTAATAAATCTTCATTTTCATTTTTTGATTTTCTAAATCGTTTATTATTTTGTCGTTGTTGATTAATAACAGTTAATTTTTCTAATAATGGAAATGATTGAGCAATTCGAAGAAAAAATTCATGTTCGAAAGGATGTTCATCATATAATCCAACTTCACGAACACACTTACATAATTCACCAGAAAAATTATTTGTTATATCATCATAATATTTTAATTGATATGGATATGAATAAATATGACATCGACTAAGTTTACGTTTTTGAAAATAATCAATACAAGAAATAATTTGATTATCTTTAAAATCTTTAAATGTCTTTTGAATATCTTCATTTGATGGTAAATTAGTTTTACTATAAAAGGAACTCAATGAACAAATATTAAATGTAAATTTGTTTAATAGTGGCATATGATTGATAATATTTATTTTTAAATCATTACCATTATGAAATGTTTTATTGCCATAAACTTTAACAGACAAATGGAGATTTTCTAAATTTAACATTCGATGTAAAAGTGGTAAAATTGATTCGTCATAAAATTTTGTACAGCGATTACAATATAGGGAAAAGGATTTTAAATTAGGTAATTTTTCCTAAAAAAAGAACAAATATCAGTTTGTTTGAATAAATTAAATATTAATCAAAATGTTCAACCTTATTATTGATTGTTAAATTCGAAATGATAATACAATCAATATTAACATGAAGTACACGAAGCTGATTGAAACGTCCATCAAGTAAATAAAGACAATCATTAAAATTCTTTAAATAAACATGTAATTCTAAGAGAGTTGAAGAGATAACAGTTATGGATAATTCAAAGAAGGATAAACATTCAAACATATTTTCAGATGTATCAAAGTTTAATACTCGTAAATTAGTGAATGTAGTAAAGATATGGATAAATAAAAGTGCATTGTTAGTTTGTCTTGATATTTGGTTCCCATTTGAATTCGTATGGATAACAAGTGATAAAATTTGATTTTTCAAGGTACAACTGAAAAGAGTTTCATCTAAACAATAAAAAGATTTTTTTTTAAATTTATTACTACATTTTCTTTATCACACATTTGTTTTAAAGTTTAAATTGAAAATAATATGAAAATTTTTATTTTAGTATTTCCTTATATATATCAACATTTATGTTCTATTTGAAACAATCTCTTTGATGAGTTTTCTTCTCACTCATATTGATATGAAAAAAAAAATGAATAAAATAAAAATTTCTTAATGTTATTAGTATAATTATCTAATTAATGACATTATAAGTTGATTCAAAACAAAATTCATTTGACATATAACTTTAATGTATTTATCAATGAAAAAATCAAAGTGAAATATCTTACTAGAAAAAAGATGCATAGCCTGTTCAACTTGGATATTGTATAAACCAAGTCCAGATAAATTGGGATAATTTGTAGCAAGAAAAATACGTTTCATTGAAAATGGTTCAACATTAAGCCATTCGATTTTATTATGAATTTTAGGTAAGATTTGAAAACAAAATCGATTAACTATTGGATCAGGTAATGAATAAGCTAAATAGCTTGGTAAATCATTGAACTCAGTCAAAGGAACTGGCAGAAATCTTAGAAAAGTCAAACGATTGGTAAAAATAGAATCATGTATTATTTTATTTAATCGTCTGTTAACACCAATTAACGAGTAAAATAGTGAGATATTGTGCAATTTTTTAAAAATAATCATAAGAATTTCATCCGGTAAATGACTCAATTGATCGTATGAATATTCCATAGTCGTCTACACCTAGATGTATTCTGTCTTTTTAACTTAAAATGTGTTCCACTTGACCGATATCGTCAATGAAAACAAAGATGCATTTCTCTCTATTGTCTAAATAGACGACGAATGAATATACAGCGAATAGAATGATCTTTTTCTTCTCTTTTTTGTTTGATCTATTATTTAATGTGTGAATGACCATGTAAAAAATCTCTTTATTATTCATATTATAATATATAAAATAATTTCAACTAACTGTTTCAAGAGATAAACTTTAATATCTACTTAGAACAATTTCATAGTTTTTATTTCAATGGAAATATTTATAAACTATTGAAAAATCAGAATGGAAAGAATATTTCTAATTGAGGATACGTGTACATTCTCACTGTTATTCTCTTACTTCCAGACAGAATTATATGTCAAAAAACGATGTTGCATAATTAATATTGATAACTAATAAAAGACAAAATTATTTCTCATAATAAGGGTATAAACGTATACCGAGAGAGTATTAGTCTGCAAGTTAAATCAAATCATAAACTCATACAAGCTTTTCATTGAGTCAATTCTTATTGTTCGACACAAAGGCATATTGATTTATATAATTTTGGCCAATTGGTGTTATATCAAAGTATTCTTTTTATTTTTCGAGTCCTTTTATGAAACACGATCTGAAAGAAGTGTTAAAGTGATTAGAGGTAAAAATTTGCACCCAATCCCCAGCCCTCCTCTCTCTCACAGATCGGGATCGACATTTGCCTCTCCCTATTACAGATCGTCGCAACTAGGGTCAAAGATCAAAGGTCATCGAGTACATTTTCATAGGACACAAGAGGGGGAGCAGGATATATCGTCACAGGCCATGAAAGACGAGGAGGTATACCATCACAGACTGTGACAGACACTCTCTTCATTTATAATACAACAAGTTTCATCGTGTTTCACATTTTTAATTCCGTAGGGATTGCACTGAATGCTTTTTAATGTAATAATCATCTTCGACCTATTTTTTGACTTATTTTTCGTATTTTATCAGTATAAATGTGATAATACCATTACATTCAGAATCGAGATTTAAACGTCAAAATATCCTATGGAGTAGTCAAGTGAAATTTATTCAGTTATCTAACAACAGATCTGTGGAAAAGAGTAATGACCTGAATATCCAAAATTAAATTATATACTCTAAAAATTGAGGAATTTGAGTAGATTTGATGTGACGCCTTCGATACTCAAAATTGAAGTATATGTCCTCAGACTTGAGGAATTTGAATTGATTTGATGTAACAATCGAATAATTATAGAGGAAATATGTCCTGCAGACATCAAGAATAATAATTAGCATATGGTTTTCCTTCTGCAATTTTCCCATATCGTAGGTGTCTCAATTTATTTTATCCTATTTGTTTGTATCCATGATCTCTTCCCTCTTTCACAACATTAAAGTCGATTTTCTTGGTTTAGATTAGAGATTTTTTTTTCCCTTTTGTTCTGATTTTTTCCCAACAATTATTTTGGTTCGATAAAGACTGGATTCATATTCAATTCTTAATCGATTGTGCGTGATTTTAATCGATTATAATGTGATTTTTTCCTTATTTTTTTTTACATGGGACCGAATTCGTGTTTTACGAGATGATAAAAATTTTTTGATTTGGTTTTTTTTCTAATAATAAATTAATCTAAACATAATATTTAGTAGAGAAAAAAAACACATCTATGTGTCTGAATAGAATTTATGAGTAAGGAACAGTCTCATAGTTAAGTTCTTATATTTGGTAGTTATCAAAGAATTTAGAATTGAGAACCGGATCTAAAAATTTCTGAATGTTATTGAAAATGTTTGAATCGTTTCTGATAATACTATGATAGATACAAGATATTAAAATGAGTAAAAGAACGTTGATACAATTCTATGGTTTAGTAATTTTCTTGCTAATGAATATGTAAAGAGCAAATCAGCAGCTATCAGGACTGATTTGTTTAAGAGATTTCTCTATAAGTCAATATGTATCTTGAGACAAATCCCAAACAATTTCTCACTATGTGCATGCATACCAGCAATGTGAGTGTGCTGAAATATTCACGCAGCTAATAAATCCTAATAAATCGTCAATAAATTAATAAATCTTGTAAAAAAAGAAATCCCAAAAGAACAAGTTTCGAAGGCCTCTCTTTTTGGTAGAATAAATACTGTACATGCCTTTACGTTGGTGAAGAGTTTTGACTTTCGGTACGTAAAAATTCTTTTTTGCTTGCATCCTTTTGTTTTATTTAACGAAATAAATATTCAAAAATTTGATAGAACAATTAGAAGCTTAGTCCGAATTGTTTCGATGAAGTTCGTTTCAGTTCAAAAAAATTTATGCTAAATTGTTGACAAACAGGAGCACTTTTTCATAATTGTTCATCAAGACATTGAAAGACTCAACAATTTCGTGAAAGCTATTTAAATTGGAAAGACTTGAAGGAAATAGTTTTTGATTGATTTCAAATGTTTGTACGTAAGAACAGAGTGTATTCGGATAGTCTTTGATGTTTTCATGAATTTGACCGATGTTAGTGCGATAAGCATTCAAAGAAGGATGCTTTCGTAGAGAACTTTCTACAAGTATTTCTAGGCCCTTGTTGAGAAATGAAAGTGCTTTCGAATGATCTCCCATCGAGATGTATATATTATCCAATATTGTTATAGCAAACACCTATGCATGGATGATTTGAACAGGACATTTTTTGAATGATTTCAAGTGCCTTTTCATGAAAAGAGAACGCTTTTATATACTCGCCCATCTTCGTATACATCCTACCCATGTTATTATATGAAATAGTCAAATCGTGATGACTTGAAGCAAGTGCTTTTCAATAGATTACAAGTGCTTTTTCTAGATAATACAGTGCAAAGCTCCGAATGGGATGGGATAGGACTAGAAAATCGTCCCATGGCGCAACCTGGTGTGTCCCATCCTGTCCCATGAGATCAGCAAAAAAATTTGTTCATCCCATCCCATAGAGTTCACAAGTCGTTCCATCCCATGGCATCCCATGGGAGATCGCGTTTAGTAAAAAGTATTTTCAAGCTTTTAATAGACTATCATGACTTTCTTGTTCAGTTATTGTGGTGGCTCTCTCTCTCTGCTCTCGTTCAGTACCTTTTATTTGACATTGAATTTTTTATACTCATCACATAAGTTTTACTGTTTTCTTAAGATGATATTACGAATCTAGAATATTAGAATCCTGATGAACTCCAGTGAATACAATACTGGATTCATCGAAGCAACTGAGATTCGTCTGAATTTACTAGGTTCTATCAGACTTCAGAATCCACTTTGCTCTTAAGAGATTCCAGTTACATGTTTCTAAGCATTAAAAAGTAATAAGATTTCTTCTTCAGCACATACGTCATCCATGAATCCTCAACTTTTAATAAGTTTTGTTAATTTCTTAGATTGCTAGAAGTCGTTAAATATCCTGTCGTATTATCGTGCCATCCGGTCAATTTCTTCAGATCTTTTAAGATTTTGGTGAAACCTATCATAACTAGAATTCAGCAGAATCCATCAGGATTTGCTATCTGTCGATTAAATTTGTCTACATCGAAACTTATTTTAAAAAATGCATCGAAATTTGATTTGAAGCATAGGTTCCTGATGACTATGTCCATATATTCATATAATTAATGGTTAACCTGGGAGAGTATTAAAATTATAAACTAGTTGAAAACAGATAGTACTCCACAGAAATAGTTTTAGTTTTCACTGTTTAAACGTCTGTGAAAAGATTTAAAGCTTTTCATAAAAAATGTTACAAGAAAGACAGAAACGAACTATTTATGTTGAAGTAAAAGACCAACAATGAGGATTTAAAAAGTCCTATTACTCACCGCCCTTACCATGTCCTTTGAATCTACATTTCAAGAGAATAGAACTTGCATTTTTTTCACGAGAAAAAAGAAGAAAATCTCATGGGACGAGAAATTCGTCCCATCTCATCCCATGGAATTAGACCTTCATCCCATTCCATTCCATCCCATGGGTTATTTCAAAAAAAATATTTCATCCCATCCTATTCCATCCCATTCGAAGCTCTAATACAGCGCGTCCGAATACTCTTTTATTATATAATATTATTCGCTGATCTTGTTCTAGCAACTAGCCAAGAAATATTGATTTGAATGGAGAGTTTCTTGAAAGATGGCAAGTACTTTCTTGAAGATTAAAAGTGTCTTTGAATATTCTCCCATAGTAAGGTATATGCTTCTTTTGAATAACCATATAACTGTCATCTATTTATCCCTTGATATTTTGTATGATTTGCATTCTTTTTTAATGGAACTTTGAATATACATGCTAGTACTACTTAATTATAAAAATTTGTTGATAACATCGACCGTTGAAAAAAATAAATTCTCTCTCTTCATACGAAAATTCATGAAGTTCATGATAACATTCATAATTTCAGTTATTTTTTTACTATGTCAAACTTGAAGTATCTCTACATACATTAGAAGTAAATCAACGTTCGTTCGGGGACCTATCAACTGGTGTTTTTATCAATATTATAATGCCATGTATCAACGAGTCTTTACTATTTCATTTCATCACAATCACCAAGTCAATTCTTCGGAAAAAATCTAATTCTCGATAACCCACATTAACCATTTGAGGACGGATGGTTCATTTTTGGGCCACCTATTTTTCAGTAAAGAAAAAAATGTTTATTTCACATTAAACTATTAAATATGCAAGGTCATAAACAATTACATTTGTCATCTCATACTTTCCTTCTCTCATATAAATTCTTTTCAAATATCCCTTGTTCTTGCTGTTGAGTTTTCATATCGATGGATACCAAATACGTTTTTTTTAGCTTCAAATTATCATAAAGACAACGAAGTTGTTTCGATTTTCCATCGTTTGAAAAATGATCAATGTATTACAATTGTTTGTCCGAAAGCAGTATCAGTTTTCACATGAAGTTGATCGACTCAATCAAAGAATATCGTGCTACAATCTCGATCGCAAGTCTAAAAGGAACTGTTTATTTATTTTCTGAATGCATCTATTTTCAACTCATTCATTTGTTATAATCAATTGGCTCAAGATAAGTTAACATATTTGAACTACAGGGTGTCAGTGGCGAAGTCTCTCTGCTCCGGTAGTGAACAAATAAGTCATGGTAGACCTTCTTCTGAAAAGAAGTCTAAGCTAGCATCATCAAAAGTCTGTAAAAGGAAAAAGAATATGTGCTTATTGTAGCACCAAGGAAGCAAATTTTCGATCCAATATTGAGTGCTTTACTTGCAAATTGTCATTTTGTTCAAAAGATGAAAAAAATTGTTTTTTTTTAATTATCATAAGATTTTTATGTAGCCACTTTAAGTTAAAATAAAACAAAACGGTTGAAAAATGTTTTTTTCTTCTATTAAAAAATTCCGTCCTCAAAGGATTAAATTATTCTTTATATAGCAGAAAACATTAGAATATTGATGTAGTTATAACGAAAAAAATGATACTGACATGTAGTTGTCAAATGATAATAAACTATTCGTATCATTCAATGATGGTCATATGATTCCGATGTTTCGATAAGTGTTATCTATTATGTTATCGACAGCTTTATGTATTTTTTATTCATGAATCTTTATCTACTAATGACTATATGATAACGAAAAAAAAGACATTTTACTTTGAAAATGCTTCTTTCATATGAATAAATCAAAGAGAAAAAAAATGATGCATAAAAATATGCTGGACAAATAGTGAAGAAGAATAAAATGATGCAGAAAAAAAATGCTAGACTAGTGGTCAAGAATAAAATGATTCAGAAAAATAATGCTGGACAAATAATGGATAAGTATAAAAGAAATGAAGTTTTAAAAAACTAAGGACAAGTTTCATAATGCACGTGTTTTAGTAGTTGGATCACTAGAAAAAACAAAAAACCGATATTCACTAAGTTTAATCACAAAAAAAAAATACTCACGTATGATTTTCAGAATTACCAACACCTTTATCACCTAAAATTATAAAATAAATTTAATGAAATCTTTATATTAAATTTAATTTTACCAGTATTACTATTTAATGTTTGAGCTTGAGCATGTTGAGCACCAGGTTGAACATTAATTAATGAAATAATATGTTGTTTGAAGCTTGCCACCAACATTGAAATATGTACAAGATTACTAAAAAAAAAATAAGACTATCTTTTTTAAAGAAGTCTCTTGAATTTCAAAAAAACATATCCTTTTTTTCTTGCATAATCTTGAATATTTGTTTTAATTAAATCAGCATATTTGCCATTTTTCTAAACTAATAAATAGAACAGTTAAATACAAGGGTCATTCCAAAAGTTTTTTCCCTCAACTCTCTTCAAAGACTTAAGTAAGAACTAACTATACTGCTATAATGTTCGGATATATTTAGGATTATGTGCAAAATTTCAGACGTCTCAGTCTTGTGCTTTGTTGTAATCTATCATTTCTTTTGTAGTAGGTACACGCGATTTCCAATCTAACACATAATTGGTTGAATGAATGCGTTTTGTATAACAGTTTTCAATCCTTTAACGAGTTGTATTATAAAAACAAAATGCATCACAAGATGCAGCGTGAAAAGCTCTAGAATTTATATAAGATCGCTTTTTTTTGTAGTTGCATATTTTGCTTTCAAAATGGACAACATTCTCAGCGATCAAATGTCGATGATGCTAAAAGATAACACGAATAAGAAATTCCTTGTTTCTTATTTCATCATTTTATAGTCTATACAGATTGTATAGCGTTTCATGCTGCATCTTTCGTCATATTTTGTTTTTATTTATGAAAACATATTAGGCGGTCAAAAGATAAAATAAATAAAAACGATGTCATTTTGCACCAAAAAAAATATATATATATATATATATATATATAATTGTTCTAAAGCAGGAATACGATAGGTCAAAATTTTGTCCATTTTAAAAGCAAAACGTGCAATAATAAAAAAAAACGGTCTTATTTAAATTGTAGAGCATTACATGTTGCATCTTGTGATGTGTTTTATTTTTTTCAATACAACTTATTAAGGGATTGAAAACTGATATACAAAACTCGACTATTTGACCTGCCTCACTAGTATAAAAGAAATGATGGATTTCGACAAACCACAAGACTTAGAAGTCTGAAATTTTGTACATAATCGTAAATATGTCTGGGCCTTACAGTGGTATAACTAGTTCTTAATAAAACCTTTTAAATGAACAGTACGAAAAACTTTTGGAGTGACCTATGTATATTTTGTAAAAGACGTTCTTACTTCAATGTTGATTATCATATTACCATCATCACCTTTGTGGATTGTACATAACAGAACAATATCATTATTTTTATATTTAATAATAAGTTCGCCATCATCATTTACTTTGTATACGAACCATTTTGATAACTAAAAAAAAAACAACTAGTTTAAAAATATTAAATTAATCTCATACATCATTTGGACCATTTTCACCGACAACCAAGAAGTTATATTCCCACATGACATAATGGAACACATTTATTAAATATTTCCAATCATCATTTTTATAAACATCTTGATAATGTGTATGTATTAATTCAAGACCGGGAAATTTAGACATAATATCTGAAATGTGAAACAAAAGTTTTTTTTTTCTAAACTTTATGAAAATATGAAGCTAATGAAAGAGAAATCATTGATTAAAAAGTTCAATAACACGTAATTGAAAGTTCCATCAAAACCACTCATTTTTAATAGCGAATAATATGTTAAACTAATTTTTTCTAGTCTAATCAATCCAAAACTAAAATTATCTTTGAAATAAAATAGGAAAGAGAACAAATTTCTTCTTTGAAATTAAAAATTAATATTCGTTCAAAATCTTTTCCTTTTGTATCTCTAAACACACATGAATGCATGAATGAACAGATTTTTTTAAATAAAAACATTTTTCACTACCAGAGAAACTAAATAAACGAAAATTTCAATTAAAAACAAAAGAGAAATGAAACCAATCACTTTCAAATTAATTTTGTCTTTGGTATTGATAATAATGAGCTTGTTAAATAATAATCATTTTATATATCCAATAGTATGTATAATACAGCTTGTTCTTTTGAAAGTTCTGAACAAAATACAATAAAAATAAATTTTTTAGATAAAAAATAAAACCGTATGTTGAGTGATGAATGATCCAAAAATTGTTTTGATAAACAAAGATTGAAACAATTGGATCTTGAATATGCATAATACGTTGTTGAATACCAAATAAATTCATTTGTGATGTACCAATTGCCACAAAATCTTCACCTAGACCAACTTCTCTGTTCATCCACAAAGAAATATCATCTCATATGCTACCTAAAATATTTAGTTTCATCTTTCTTCTGCATGATCTCCAATTTAGATCAAAAACTCAACTTGTATCTATTGTAGAACAAGTAAATCAATGTATTTCATTAAATTCCATGCTGTCATACAAACAGCATCTTGTGATGAGTAACTTTAAACAAAATATTTTTAAATAAAATTAATAATGAAGAAAATCCTTTCTTACTTCATACAAATATCATGAATCAAACAATTCATAATTGGTAATTGACGATTTACATAAGTCACGATAAACAATGTACCATAGAATGAATAAGTAATTAGATTAATTACGTAGAAAAAGTAAATGTTTTTATTTTAAATGTTAGTTAAAAAAAGAAATAAACTTCATCGGTGAAACTATTTTCATGTTTGCTTTCTTGTTCATTTATGGGTGGGGGTGGGTGTGGGGTGTGGGTGTGGGTGTGGGTGTGGGTGTGGGTGGGTGTGGGTGTGGGTGGGTGTGGGTGTGGGTGTGTGGGTGTGTGGGTGTGGGTGTGGGTGTGTGGGTGTGGGTGTGTGGGTGGGTGGAGTGTGGGTGTGTGGGTGTGGGTGTGGGTGTGGGTGTGGGTGTGGGTGAGGGTGGATGTGGATACTGGTATTCTGTACACCCACACCCACATCCACACCCACCCACACCCAC